TCGGCGGAATAGATCGCTGGAGCAGGTCACAGGTTAGCAGGTTGACGGAACAGGTTATAAGGTCATATAGATCGCTGAAGTATGTCACAGGTAATTGAAACAGTTCGTTGAAACAGGTCACAGGTTATCGGAACAGGTCATAGTTCGTCGCGGAAGCAAGTCACAGGTCGGTGGAACAGTTCGCAGAAGTAGCTCGCAAGTCGGCGTAACAGGTCACAGATCGACCGAAAAACTGGTCACAGGTCACATATGCCCCTCTTCCGCCGGATGCCGTGGGCTCCTGATAAATTGAAATTCAGCGGCAGTGAGAGGGATGTTTGCATGGCTCCACTTCAGCAGATTACAACAGTTGCCATCTGTTATTAGGCAAATATCATTTCCATTTCATGCTGGAGGAACGTCTGCCGATCATATCATAAGGTTAGGCTCCATACGACGATGAGAGATGATTGCTTAAGAGAGAAAAAAAGGTTATTTGATTCACTTCCGAGATGATGTTAAGTTTCTGACGTCGAAATGAACCGTCGGGTTTGTCATCTTCGAGGTTATGAGTGTAAGAATTTAAATTTTAACGACTGAGCTGTAAAGTCATTGTTTGGATTAACATTTGAAAAAAAGAAACGTATTGATAACAAGAATATTATTCATTTGATCAAGATAACCAGCTTTGTTTATGTTATCAATACCTGATAAGAACATCATACATCGTTTGATCAAGACAACTATCCCTGTTACCGACACACAATTCTCTTATCAGCAAGGCCGATAACGCCCCCCTTCCTTACCCCCCCCCCATGTCCGCATCCACGTGACCTAGCGAAGGACCCCCCCCCTACCCAACCCACCGGTATCCGCATCCATATGACCCGGTGTGTCGGTCAACTCGGGGCCATGAGCGTGCGTGACTGAAGGCGCAGTCAGGGTAACCAGTCCTCCCTCTTTTTTCGCAGTCCTGTAAATGCTGTAGAATGCGACAAAGAAAAAAAAGAAGAAAAAAAAGAAAGGCGTTGCGTGCGAGTGACGTCACCGTGGAGAGTGAAATGCGACACTCGTTACTGAAGTCAGACATCAAAGTCGAGATTTTTCTTTTCTTTTTTGCTTGCTTGCTTTTTGTTTTTTTTATTTAACACTGCCCCCTCCCCCCTCCCTTAAAAAAAATAAACTTTAATGGGATTACGATTCAATTTATCTGCTTTTTCAAGCTGCTCAAAACTAATCCATTATCGCACAAAGAGCTTTTGCGCGATTATTTGTCTCTCTCTTTATATATGTTTCGTAACAAAGGGAATTTACACAAAGCGATCGAGAGTTATCTCTAATGGACATAGCCATCTGATATAATAAAAGATTATGGATAAAATCAAATATAAAGGTTTTAAAAAAGTGATATTAGGTGGGAGTTTGATCCCCGTCCGAGAGTGTGCGTGCTAAGTGGAGACACACGAGTTGCCCCCTCCCCCCCTGGTCACCCCCTCCCCCCCTCTGGTCACCCTCTCCCTTACCCTTCCCCCACCCTCTATAAGCCATCTCCCTCACCCCACCCTCTCCCCCTCCTCTCCATCCCCCTCCCTCACCCTCTCCCCCTCCTCTCCATCCCCCTCCCTCACCCTCTCCCCTCCTCTCCATCCTCCTCCCTAACCCTCTCCCCCTCCCTCACCCTCCCCCCCTCCTCTACACCCCCCTCCCTCACCCCCCCACTCTCCCTCAGAATTCGTGACGCTGAGAGAAAGAGAGAAAGAAAAAGAAAACAAGAAAAGCGAAAGAAATGCACTTAGCCCATCAGAGCACAGCAAAGAGAAATGTTAAATACACGTCCTTTGAAGATAACAGCGTCGGCGAACGATAAAAAAGAAACAAATTCTGAAGATTATCGTACAGCGCGGAAACCGATAGACAATGGGCGAGGAGCGGTCGTCAGAATTAAGCGTTTTCATTCGGCCAAGAAGATAAGAAAATCCTTTTCGAACGAGCGACGACCGCCACACCATTCATCTCCAGCGAAAGAAAAAAAGAAAAACGAGCAGATTTTGCGCGCGAATATCAAGAAGATCCCACAAATATTCGCTCGCCGGCTCGCACTCCCCAAATATGTGGCTGCTGGTTTTCATAAGCGTCATATTCGCCCTTAGTCGCGCTTACGCTGGGAAACACAGTGCCTGGGAGCGACTGGGTTTCATCATGGTAATCTGCAAGGCTTACTTGAAACCCCGAGACGAACCCAGCTGTTCGGGAGATGAGTCAGGTCTCGGCTCTTCACGAAAATATTACTTGTCATATAATAACGACGGCTGGCGGAGTACAAAGATTCTTAAATTGTCAAGAGTGACAGCAGGAATGACCGCCTTGTCCTCACGCAAAATCCTGTCATCTTATTTGCATATATGCAAGCGCTTGCAAAGTATGTAAATAAGGAGCTATATATACTTATGACAAAAAACGTTGTCACTCTGGACGCGTTCAATAAGTGAATAAGAGTAAAAAAATACGAATAAAACGTGTC